GTTACTTATTCAAACCACCAAGTCATTATCATGATTGACATGCAGACTATGAAAGAGGTCTCTGAAGTTCTTATGTTACATACAACTGTCTGAATACGTGATTTATGAGTACAATTTAAATCTCTCAGACTCATTATAAGAATTCAAAATAAGATGTACGTTACATAGACTAGGCTTAAGAAAACATGAATTTAAACCTCTACTGATTCCTTTGCTGAGACACAAATAATTCACATCTGTGACCACTCAAATTCAAAACCTCACATTCACATCCAATTAAGAGGGTATTCTCTGCCAGGCATATATCAGAAGAATAAAGACCAAATTAAAGTTTGGATATTAAAAATTAATATTACACCTTTGAAGGTCCTTTGGGACTCACTTTTCAGGGCTGCCTGAAGTGTGGAACTACCAGTCCCAGCCAGCTTACCTCTGAAGGTCCTTTGGGACTCACTTTTCAGGGCTGCCTAAAGTGTGGAACTACAAGTCCCAGCCAGCGGTGGTGTGCCTTCCTTAGCAGGGCAACTCACAGCTAGCGGACTTCTGAAGTTCCTTTGGGAATCGCTTTTCAGTGCTGCCTGAGGCGTGGAACTACAAGTCCCAGCCAGCTGCCTAGTCCTATGCAAGGAAAGCGGCTGGGCACTTATCAAGGCACAATCTTTTGAGCCTGGGCACGGGACAGGCCTATCCAGACCATCCCTTTGCTCAGCCCCCAGAGATTGTACCTCAGCCCCCAACACTGAAAATGCATCCTTTGTTTCATCACGAATCTCTTACTCATTGTTAGCATTACCAACATTGCCGTCAACAATACAAACATTATCAATGACATTACTATCAATGTTACTGACATTATTAATGACATTACTGACTTTATTATCAATGTTACTGACATTACTAATGACATTACTGACTTTACTATCAATGTTACTGACATTAGTAATATCACCCTCAGTGTCACCACAACGATCATCAACAGTCACGTTCATAATATCAATGACACATGAGTTCAATACCTCCCCAGGCAAGGGGATTTCTTCTTGTTCTCCAGCTAATGGAGAATCCTATAGATCCACACCATTCCCAGCCCCCCCTCTGTCCTCTGGCCCAGACATTACCCCAATATCTGTCCACAGTACCTTGGCTTGTCCAGAGAGTTCCAGGGGGTCCTTCCGGGTATACTCGGCAGGGGCATAACGGGGCCTAGGTCAGCACCCAACAAAACAGGTGTGGGCAGTTCATCTGAGACCCCCACCTCCCTCATCCCCCTCCCCGCACCCCAATCTAGGAATACCTTCACACAGGGTATGCGTGAAAGGGTCCCCCCAACTCCTGTGAGGGTAAGGAACTTTCCTGGGATGAGGTTCTGTGGCTGAAACAGCTCTGGCCAGATCAAGGTGACTTCTGCCCCGGTGTCCCGGAAACCAGTTGCAGACTGGTTGCCCATGGTAATGGGCTGCAAGTTGGGGGGGGGTTACCCACATCTTCCTGCGAACGAATAGCACAGAAGAAGAGTTGCTGGCCAGCTGGTCAGATGATGTCATCTGCTTCTGCTCAGGACACTGCGTCCTGAGATGTCCGGCTTTCCCACAAGTGAAACATCTGCGGGTGTCAGGCGGGAATGGCTTGACTCCAAGTGCTGTAGGGTTAGGTGGAGGTGAAGCTTGACTCACCGAAGTAGGAGAGGTTGCTAGGGATGATTTCCCCCCTTTCCAGCTGTTTGGAGGAGCCTTGCGAGGGTCAGGCACTCGCGTGTAGATGAAGGTATCTGCCAGGTCTGCTGCAGCTGTAGTAGATGCTGGCTCCCTCTACAAGACGAACTGTCTGACGTCTGCTGGACAAATGCGCAGGAGTTGATCTCGGATCATGAGATCCTCCAAAGATTCATAAGAATTAGCTTTCAGTCCCTTAGTCCACTGTCGGAATGGAGTGCATTAACGACTTGCCACATTCGTGTAAGAGTCCCCAGGTCCCTTCTGCATGGATCTGAACCGCTTTCGGTACACTTCCGGGTCACCTGGTACTTCCGGATAATGGCATCTTTTAAAAAGTTCATAGTCATCATCTTGCCCCTCTGGCAATTCAACAAACGCGTCCAGGGCCTTGCCTCGTAGCCCTGGTGTCAGCTACCAAACCCATTGAGCTTGGGGCACATGGTACTGACGGCACGTTTTTTTCAAAGGAAAGTAAGTAGGTGTCAATGTCGCTGTCCTTTTCCATCATGGGAAACTTGGCTGCGCCACGGAAAGAGTGGCGTCCCTGTGATCTAGGGACCCGAGGTTCTGACCCGGTCGCTGCTGGAGCCTTGCCATCTCCATCTCGTGCCGACGATCAGCTTCCCTCTGCACCGCCTCTCTCTCAGCTTGGCGTTCCTCTCTGTCAGCTGCTGCTTGGCATTCCGCAGTTTCTCTGTCAGCCGCTGCTTGTCGTTCCGCAGCTTCTCTGTCAGCCGCTGCTTGGCGCTCCTCTCTCTCAGCCGCTGCTTGGCGTTCAAGGAACTGCAAGTATGCCATAGGATCCATCTCAATAACACGTTTCAGGGCTTCCTGCATTTGAGAAGAGTCTCGGCTGGTTACAGGCACCACAGTGCTAGCGCGCTCAGGCGGTGGTGTGAGGCTAACATTTGGTGATCTTCCAGTGTCAGTCTCTGTATGCCCATCCTGTGAGGCTGTCTCTGAGCCACTGGCAATGTGGGTAACGGGAACCCCTCCATGTTCAAGTTCCCCCGAGTTCTGATTTGCTCGGATATCATACTCCACTAGATCACTAATCAAATCTTCACGAGTTTTGCGACCGACGTCCAATCCTCGTGAGGCACATTGAGCTTTCAAATCACCTTTGCTCATTTTCTCGTAATCTGCTTCACCAGGCATAATTGCAAGCAAAGATGGAAGAGAAAAGTAGGAAAAGGAAATAGCTGTTGCTATGTGTCTCTCTATACACATATATATATATAAAATAAAATATGCACCACTTGTTTCTAAGGACTGTTTCCACAAAGGGTACAATCCTTCAGTGCAGAGCCAATTTTTAACACTGCACTGAAGCTCTTAATGCAATTATCCCATGTACGCTGCCAACAATATGTCACGGATCCACGGTCGCCGCCACCAACATGCGACAATTGCACGACCGCGACTAACAGTAATACGTCACGCCCACGGCGTCAGACCCCAGACCTTCTCACCAAACTCGTGACCGAAGGACCGGCCCGATCTAAAACCGCGGTGTGACGCGCGTAACAAGGCCACTCTCAGCTGCACCCAGCACAGCGATTGCCCAGCTAATGGACTACAATCATGCCTGCAGCCTGAATGCGCTTGTTACTGGGTCGGGTTAATTACGCAACTAACCCTTCTACTGCCACCACCACTTTTGTCGGAGACTGGGAAACTCCCGTTATCAAATATACACTATAATGATTGAAATATTGATCTATATAGCACGGCCCATGGACCTGCTATACAGAGATATAACAAACAGTAGCGTCTCTTCAAAGGCAGGGATTCGTGAATTGCAAGTAAGTGCTTAAAAACAGTTTTAACACTTTCCGAAAGAAAGATTTATTGCTAAAAGAGTCAAACAGGTGCAATAAAATATTTACAAAGAGATATCACGAAAGATAAATATATATACGAAATGTATATAAATGTATATAAAGATACAGCAGAGATAATAGGGAGGAAATTAAAGAGTTAAGTTATAATAGATACTTGGTTTGTAAGCAGATCCAAGTACAGAGCAGGAAGGTTCTTTGATCTCCTCTGTAACGATGTTACAGTTAAGGAGATGTGTTACACTCTACCCTTAGGCTTGCAGCCTGTCCCTTTTTTAAAATCCCTCTGCGGGGGGGGGGGGTGGCCTGGAGTCTGCCCAATACGATATGTTGGGCAGAATGTCAGTGGACTCTCAGTTAAAACTAACAGCTTCATACCCCATGATATGAAACACACAGTTGACCTGAGGAATGTTTAATTAACTGCTGGTCAGTTTTATGATGTGTAGGCCTACACAGTTTTGGGGTCAGTGCTTCCCAATTCTCTGAGAAATGCTGGCCTTATCAGAACATAGGTGAGAAAGGTTACATGTTCCCCAGACTGCCTGGCACCTGGACTCAGGTTGTCTTAACCTAGTTGACCCACACCATCTGTCAGGAGATAACGTTTGCCTCTCAGGAAGGGAGGGGGGGTAGGGAATGAGGGCTGAGAAATAGAAAAAAGGGAAACTCCGCTTCCAGCTCTGATGAGCTAGTTTGCTACACCTATCAGTGCCGCCTATCAGTGACACCTAACAGTGCCAAATCAGTGCTGTATATCAGTGCCAGTCAGTGCTGCATATCAGTGCCACCTATCAGTGCCATATATGAGTGCTGCCTTTCAGTGCCCATCAGTGATGCCTGTCAATGCCCATCAGTGCCACCTACTAGTGCCTCCTCATCAGTGTCCATCAGTGCCACCTATCAGTGCCCATCAGTGCAGCCTATCAGTGCCCATCACTGAAGCCTCATTAGCACACATTATTGAAGGAGCAAAATCACTGATTTTCAAAATCTTAAAACAAAAATTAAGAAAAAAAATGTTTTTTTTTCAAAGTTTTCAGTTGTTTTTGGTTTGTTTAGCAAAAAATAAAAAAAACTCAGAGGTGAATAAATACTACCAAATAAAGCTCTATCTGTCTAAAAAAAAATAATAAAAATTTCATATGGATACAGTGTTGCATGACTGCGCAATTGTCATTCAAAGTGCGACAGCGCTGAAAGCTGAAAATTGGCCTGGACGGGAAGGGGGTATAAGTGCCCTGTAGGCAAGTGGTTAAAGCAGCTAAACGTCCCTAGAATGTACAGCAGAGCCATTGTGTGTATACAATACAATATAGTATCAACTGGCACTTTTGTACTTCTTCTTTCAGCCATGCAGTAAAAGCTGAAATATTCCTTTAAAGCATTCCTTGCATTAGAAATAAGGTTAGATTCTAGACCAAAAATGAAAAATAAAACCTACCTCTTCCATTTTCATTAGAAAGCAATCTATAAAGTCACGTGGGCAGTTCTCATCCAATGTCTCCTTATGAGCTTCCACCATTTCTATCATAAACTCTTTAAGCTTTTCAAAGTTTGTAAAAATTTTCCGATGGGGGGCCAGGTACACGGGTCAATAAGGCTGGGAACAGATTAAGAAGCTGAAACAAATTTTTAATTTGAGGTGTTAAACAATGAGCAATACATCTGATACATATGGTAAATACATATTCGTACATATAGTAAATACATATGGTGAATACATTTTTACCATACTAAACTTTACCAAAACATATTCAGTTTTCCTGTCAATTGCTAACCTAGTTGTGACGGGAGTCACTTTGGGGGGGGGCCCATAGAACCCAGCGCACTTTGGAGAGGTGGGGAAGACCCCTGTCTCAGCTCCCCATACCCCTATTATGTGTAAGTCACCCTGTGCCTGTTAGGGGTACAGGGTGATGTGTTCTAATATTGTGTAGACATGTATAGGTGGGGTGGGGGGTTGTTGATTGTTTAATTCCATGTAGTTGCATCCCATTGTTCTATTGTTTGCCTTGCTTGGGAGCAAACTATTATGGGATGTACTGTATGTGTTTATGTGTATTAGCTTGGTGGGGGGGGGTGTCTCCAGCAGCTCTCCCTCCTAGATGGGACTGTCTGCTGGTGTGAAGTTTGAATACCTGTGTGTCTCTTGTTGCTAAGTGTAGATTGCCCTGCCCTGTGTTATCATGCAGGGGGGGAGGATTGCCCCGAGTATGTAAAAAGACAGTTCAAGTTTCAAATAAATAGTTCCATGTTCAGACAGACTGGTGTCGTCTAGTCTTGTATGGTCTGCTGTGGTGTCTGTTGTCGGTGTTCGGACGGGAGAAGCAGTATTCTAACGGAAGTACCCAAGAGCAGACTGGGCGGTTCTGTTACACTAGTGCAATCCTTTGAAAAGGCTGTCTAACCAGTGCTGAGCCTCAAATGTTTAATTGTTTTAAAAAAGCCATTTTGGGTTCCATTTAAAACAGGGTGTGGATAGTGCTCTCTGCAGAACATTGTAGTAACTACTCCACACAGTAATTTTTAACCTGCAGTGTCATACGGTGTGCTCTCTGCATAATGACATAGAAAACACTCAGGAGAAGAGGTCTGTCACATGACCTATCAAAGAAGGTTTACTCTTCTCTACACTTTTTTTTACCAAGTCAGTAGATTAAATGGACCTTCTATTGCTTTACTGTTCTGAAGAAACCCTCTCTATTGGTCCTATCGACCATTGTCTCAGAAGGACTAGAAGGTAATTGTCTCATAAATCTATATAAAATATGTGTAGTGTGTATACACATACGACCATACATTATATATATTTACCTGGCCCAATTGAGAAATCAGCAGGTTTGCAACTTCTTGAATAAGTTTCAGAAGTGTCATGAACTTCTTGTCTTTTTTACTCATTTATTAGATTGAATGGACCTTCTATTGCTTCACTGTCCTGAAGAAGCCCTCTTTGGTCCTGGTGACCATAGTCTCAGAAGGATCGGAAGACCATTGTCTCATAAATATATAAAATATGTGTAGTGTGTATACATATACAATCACTATATACAATATATATATATTTACCTGGCCCAATCTGGAGTTCAGCAGGGTTACAACTTCCTGAATAAGTTTCAGAAGTGTCATGAACTTCTCATCTTCATAATCGAATCTTTCTCCAAATACAATGGAGCAGATGACATTGGAGACAGCCAATCTCAGCAGATGTATTGGGTTTATTGGTTTATCTGTTATTACACAAGCAGAACCAATCAGCATTTTTGTCCCCAATATCAGTATCTAGAATCTTGGAAAATATTTCAAATGTGTGAGGACCTTAGGTAAATACGGGATGAGCTGAAGGTTCACCTGAACAGGTTCAGTCTGAACTTTATCTGTTTTGGCATTTGAATGAGCGCCCAAACATTTATCCGTTTGGTGGGTAGGAATTTTAAGGTGTATCCCCAGTGACATCGTTAACCAAATATAGCCATGTCTAGAAGAAATCATTATTTGAAATGGTTTAGTAATATACATTGTTAACTTATATAGCTTTCCATGATGCTTGCCTATGTTTTCAAGAAATAGCTGAGATATTACCGTAATTGCCTCTGTGAAATTCTATTCCAAGTAGGTAACTGTGAGTTAGGGGATGAACGTGCTTATTTCAAAAGATGTTTTAAGAATACACAGCCTGGTCACTTTTCCATCCGGTCTAGTAATTTCCTTGCTTTTTTGTACATCAGGGGATGCACTGCACTCCTCACAAAGGGGCATAACTGAAGTTCATTCATTATAAATTAGTTCCTACTTAGTGCTGCTGAAATTTCAGAGGCAGCTGTCAATATATAGAAGCCAGAAAATTACAAAGATGCCAGTATGACATCACCATCAATACTCCAACATTTTTATAACACATCACATGCAAGGAGATATAATCCAGGTAGTCATCAGCATATCAGATCATATTGTCACAAGAGCTTAGCAGTAGGAATCTGTTGAGACTGTGTTACAAAATGAATAGTTTAGATTAAAATGTTGAGTAATTCCATATAAAAGTGTGTTTAGGATCACCACTGTACTATTTCAGCATTATCTCTACCTACCTTTGATCTTCATAAATCTGTCGCTGAGACACCGCGCTTCCTCCTGGATTCTTTCCTCCACACTCCTCTTCCCCATCCCAAAATTTCTCAGTGTTGTCAGAGAAAAGCGACGCATCGTCTTCCATCTCTCTCCATTGCTCATGATGACCCCTAAAAAATTTGAAAGGTTTTACTTTTACTTTTAAAGACCCCTTAAAATTCAAACATGGTAAGCAATGACCTATTGATTCCCTCTGTGTTACATGAATCCCACCAGGAACACTATAAGTATGGAACTTGTATGTTCTCACAGTTTTTGCATGGGTTTCCTCCTAGAATATGAAAATATACTGATAATTTAAAGGATTAGTTCATTTTTTAAGAAAAAATGAAAAGGTGAACTAACATCATACACCCTTCCCACCACCTGGCGTCAGCTGTACTTACCTCTATGTGCGATGAGCTATCAGTGCAAATGCTCTTCTATCAGCAGAGCTTTTGGGACAGATCGAAGTGTTTCTTTGTGCTGGAGCTAACCAAACAGAATCATTCTAATCTGTCCCATAAATCCTGCAGAAGGAAAGGGTAGAATAGTGGGAATTAAAATTCCTGTACTGATACAATGGTTGCGTGAGCACTGACTTACTCACCCATGAAGGTAAATATAGCGGGGACTAGGAGGGGATTTGGGTGTAGGATATTAGTTCACGTTTTCATTTTTTCTGAAAAGTAAGAACTTACGCTTTAAGTGCAAACCTCCTAGTAAAGGTGACATGTTCTCCATTCTGGGTCTACACCGATAAACATGGCAAGAAGATTTACCTCCTGTATTTGGAAATACTTTATGAAAATGTCACATGATTAAGAATATAATGCTTTGGGTTGATTGGCTACCTCATATGGTCTGTGTGTATGAGTGAAATAGAATCTAACAGACATTAGACTGTGAGTTCTTTTGGAGACAGGATCTTATGTGAATGGCTCTATGTGGCGATAATGAGGTCAGCTGAACCCCATACTGAAGAGACAGAATGGGAAAATCATAATAAATACAGTGCCACCCTTATTTCTCCATATTTCTCAAGTCATTGATGAAAATGGTTTTGATTTAAATATCATGTCTGTACTATTCATCCATGGGATTTAAAGGAGAAGTACAGCCAAAGCTGTAGAAACCAATCAGCTTCCAGGATTTATTGGCAAAGAAAATTGAATAAGCTGAGGTTAGAAGCTGATTGGCTACCATGCACAGCTGCACCAGATTTTGCACTCTTCAGTTTAAGTAAAAAATCAACCCCAATGTGTTTAGTCTGGATCTAATCACGAGATTCTGTCTAAGCCCTGAAGAATTAAGAGGCCACATCTCAACAAAAGCATTGTCTATTTACTACTATCCTAATGAAGAGGTTTATCAAATCACTTGCTTGTAATGGAAACTCACTCTATGATCAGTAATAATCATTCTTGCTTGTTACTCAAAATTAGTGAACTGTGCTTGCATTACTTCGACCCATGGGTTCCTGTATAACCGAAGACAAGGAGATGATTCTCTGCCTGTCATTTTCCAGGATTTGTTTCCTAAATGGCCAGATTAAGTCTTTTTGGGCCACCAGCATTTGTGTATTGATAGCCGATCCTATGACCCCCTTCTTCTACAATAAAAATGTAAGCATTTTGACACACCAGAAAAAAAGATTTTAACAGGTGATGATTGCAAACTTAGTTCAGCATGCCAGCCTGCTGACTAACCAGGATAAAAAACACAGGAAGTTTGGGTTCCTCATGTGTGGTCCATCCGTGTTAAATGTTTAAGTTTAAGTTTAAATAAAGTGCACATTTAATAGCTTTAATCTGACCTTTGAATTACAATGATTACAGTTGTAAAAGTCTTTAAATTATTTCTAAATGATTGCAGTTGGCTTATATGGTATAAGTATATTAACAAAGCACATTTAAACAAATTAGTCCCTAATGAAAACATATGATACCAATTTGGCATAATTATTTTATTTTTAGGATCTTACCAAAGTCCTTAAAGAATAATTCTGTTAGATCCATATCCCCTCTGTCACTAAACGCATCACTGCGATCAACCAAGGCCTCCTTCACAGCATCATAGCCAATCAGCATGACTGCTCGATTGGTCGCCAGGTAGACAGTATACACAGGTCCATACATTTCACTGAGCTGTTGATAGAAATTTGCATTTTCAGAGTTGTACTGGTTCTAGAATGTGCTTCTGTCTAACAACTGTAATGATATCTGAGACTGGCAAGACATTGCAACACACCCTCCTGCCCTCACTCATATCATTGAAATGTCAGGGTCCATCTTAGTCCTTTACTCTTGTGCAGCCTGTTTTGTAATTTGGTACCAGCTGTGTATATTTACTTTACTGTTTGAAAAGGCTGAGCTGAGCGTACAAGTTTTATGAAGGTCTGAGCCTCCCATTGAAGATTTTCTAGCCTGAGGGTTGTCAGGCTGTTCTGCACACCTTTCCACAGCCTTCAACAGTATAGCGACAATATACACTACTCAAAAAAATTAAAGGAACACTTTGAAAACACATCAGATCTCAATGGCAAAAAATATCATGCTGGATATCTATACTGATATGGACTGGGTAATGTGTTAGGAATGTAAGGCTGCCCCATTGTTTGATGGAAATGAAAATTATCAACCTACAGAGGACAGAATTCAAAGACACCCCAAAAATCAAAGTGAAAAAATAATGCAGCAGCCTAGTCCTATTTTGCTGAAATTGCATTGCAGCAACTCAAAATGGAACTCAATAGTTTGAGTTCATGCCTAACAACATTGGGGCACAGATAGTGTCCTGGAATATTTCCTCCCAGATCTGTACCAGGGCATCACTGAGCTCCTGGACAGTCTGAGGTGCAACCTGGCGGTGGCAGATGGTCCTCACATGATATCCCAGAGGTGTTCTATTGGATTTAGGTCAGGTGAGTGTGGGGGCCATTCAGTGGTATCAATTCCTTCATCCTCCTGCCTGCATACTCTTGCCACATGAGGCCAGACATTGTCATGCACCAGGAGGAACTCAGGACCCACTGTACCAGTGTAGGGTCTGACACTGGGTCCAAGGAGTTCATCCCGATACCTAATGGCAGTCAGGGTGCCATTGTCTAGCCTGAAGAGGTCTGTGTGTCCCTCCATGGATATGCCTCCCCAGACCATCACTGACCAACCATCAAAATGGTCATGTTGAACAATGTTACAGGCAACATAACGTTCTCCATGGCTTCTCAAGACCCTTTCACATCTGTCACATGTGCTCAGGGTGAACCTGCTCTCATCTGTGAAAAGCACAGGGCGCCAGTGGTGGATCTGCCAATTTTGATGTTCAATGGCAAATCCCAATCAAGCTCTATAGTGCCAGGCATGAGCACAGGGCCCACTAGAGGATGTCAGGCCGTCAGCCCACCCTCATGAAGCCTGTTTCTGATTGTTTGGTCAGAGACATTCACACCAGTGGCCTGCTGAAGGTCATTTTGTAGCAATCAGGCAGTGCTCATCCTGTTCCTCCTTGCATAAAGGAGCAGATACCAGTCCTGCTGATGGGTTAAGGACCTTCTACGGCCATGTCCAGCTCTTGCAGAGTAACTGCCTATCTCCTGGAATCTCCTTCATGCTCTTGAGACTGTGCTGGGAGACACAGCAAACCTTCTGGCAATGACACGTATTGATGTGCCATCTTGGAGGAGTTAAATTGCCTGTGCAACCTCTGTAGGGTCCAGGTATCGCCTCATGCCAAATGCAAAACTAGTGAAAACCAGTCAAAAAAGATGAGTAGGAAAAAATGTCAGTGGCCTCCACCTGTAAAACTTTCTTGTTTTGGGTGTCGTCTCATTGTTGCCCATCTAGTGCACCTGTTGTTAATTTCATTAACACCAAAGCAGCTGAAACCTGATTAAAAAACCCCCTCTGCTACTTAACTGACCAGATCAATATCCCAGGAGTTTCATTGACTTGATGCTATACTCTGATTAAAAAGAGTTCCTTTCATTTTTTTGAGCAGTGTGTACCTATAGCTTATGCAATAAAATCTTCCCATAAGATAAAATGTGCATTTAAAAATCTTTTTAATGTATGGCATTTTCCCATAAATGTATATGATGTGATATGCATATCTGGGAACCTACTGGCTTTTGGCTGAAGGCTCTAGCAAACCATGAATACTGCAGTTCTGTCTCAAGCTGCTCTAATTTTTTGGCCCCACATTCAGCTGATTGGGAGTAGTGACAACAGGGTCTCTCTCTCTCTCTCACTCAGACCAGTCAGCAGATAACATGGAGCTTCTCCTGCATCCCCACTGCAGACAGGGCCAGAGTATACACAGCCACCTTAGGGCGCCAGGATGGGGGGGGGGGGGGGGGGGCTGGTAAAATCTGAATCCCCACCTACTTGCTGGGGATCAAAAATTTTAACCATGCTGCTGACATCAGTTTTTAATACACTCCCGGTCACTATACTGGTTGTGAGTGTGTTTACTTTTGTAAAGCCGACTGTCAGCTTTCAAAGTGGGAGTGATACAAGTGGCTGTCAAGCTGCCAATCACTTCCACAACTGCCACAATGGGCCACCCTCGCCATGTTTACGGGCTCCACTGTCCCATCTGCGGGCACAATGCAGTCACAGCAGGTGTCGCTGGGAAAGGTAGCAGGAGCTCAACAAGACATCCATTTGATGAGATTCCTTCCCATGAATGCATCAGTGTATGATGTCACAATCTGAGTTCCATCAACTGCAGTGGAGTACAGAGGAGACAAATGCCTATCTTCCATTCCCTAACAAAGAGCCCTCTCTCCTTCTGGGTGCAGTATGGAAGTTTTAGTTTGCCCACCTGCCAGTGAGGGATAGCAGGGAATGCATACCCCCCCCCCCCATTACACCCTGTCATTGTGGAAGGGAAGGTGGTAGTGGGAGGAAAGTGTGGGGGGGGGGTTCAAAATGCACCTTCACCCATGTAGAAAACAAATCTTTGCACCAGCCCTGCTTAGGGGGACCAATCAAAGGGACATACAGGCAGGGTGCTGCGCTCACTATCTTGTACCATCATGATCAAAGAGACCAGACTGTGCAAAAGCAGATACTGCAGGTAATCAAAGTAAAAACAATTATGTGGGAGAAATGAATAAAATTAGGGCTCATTCACACCAGTGAGCTGCGCCAATTTCACAAACACTGATGTGTGCTGGGAGACACAGTGCTGATGTGCCAAACTCAGCTCATTGCACTGTTTGCCTTTTTTTCATGATTGATATTTCAATACTATCTTATTCATTGTGGCATTGTGATGCAGTGATTCTCATTGCAACCCTCTATGCTGAAAAAAAAGTACTGCATCAAATGTTTTTTTCATCATACATCACATTAATGCAATTGCTCAGTTTGGTGTGTATTGCTAGAAAGTTTTTTTTTTTTTCTTGGGAGTGTACATGTGATCAGCACAGGGCCAATCAGCACTTTCCAGACAGAGGTCAGGGGTTCTGCATCTTCCTAGATCAGAAAAGAAAACTCCTAAAAGCTTTAACGTGCTCTGCTGAACACTGATAGACGTCACAAGACTGCTATATACTGCTGATGGGAAAAGGTATTTAGCAGTTTATATTTACTAAAATAATTGCACTTCCATGTTGTGTGTACTGTGGGAGGCCAGATATAGTGAATGCAGGGTCATGGGTTTAGTAACACTTTAATTACTATTAATTCCAAAGGCGAAAAAAAATTAAAGAACATCCAGTCAACGAATGTTTCTCTCTTGCAAAGTGCACACTTTCTATTATCTATTATTGGTTATTTTTAAAGGTAGGAACTTCTCTGGCTGTGTATTTAAAATGCTTGCCACTGTCCTAGACCGCTTACCCTAATAGATGGATCGACTCTTAGCCGGTCCCTGCTGAACCGTCCAAGAGTTGATCCATCTATGGCTGACTTTAGTGTATCCAGGTAAAATGTTCATGATTATAACCTATTTTTTGTTTTATTATCAAAGGAAAACTGGCCAAAAATAGTACAAAATGTTTTTTTTTTTTCTAGTTGTCCTACCACCAAAAAAAAATAAAAAATAAATTCACCTTCTCCTGACTATACCACGTACCAGTACCAGTCCATGTGCCCTGAAGGAACAAGAATCAACAAAAATTATATGTGACCGGCTATGACACGAACACCTCAGACCTCAGAGAACGTGGGAAAAACCACCACCAGAAAAGCCAAGGTTACGTTTATTGAAACACGCTATGATTAAAGTATAACTAAAGGCAAAACATTTTTTTTAGTTTTGATTAGCGTGCAGAGGGATTAGAATGCTTGTTGCTTTTATTTCTGTCTGTGTCCCCGTTAGAGAGATTCACCCTCTCTATTTGTCCTGTTTGCAATTATTATTAAAAGTGAAAGTAAAAGAAAATCCCAAATTTTGGGTTGTTCCCAGAAAAGTAATAGAGGCTACCAATGGGGACACTAGTTCTGGTGACCTGGGGGTCCCTAAGGAATTCCCTTCATTTGCAGGGATTTCCTCTCACTTCCTGTTTGGCTATGGTACAGGAAGTGAAAGGAAATCTCCACAATGGGATGCAGATGGTGAAAAAAAAATCTGGCAGGGGTTATAACCCTCCCTTACTCTATCCAAGATGAAAAAAAAAACATTTTTCCTACAGTTCTACTTTAAGCTTGTTAGAAGTGCATTGATTGATTTGCCTCAATAAATGTAACTTTGGCTTTTATGTTGAGCAGATTTATTCCCCCTTTCTTCTGAGAAATGATGTTCTGGATGTAGAGAGGTTCACAACCATGAGGAGTCTTCTGATGATAAGTGGTTGGAGAGGAAGGTGAAGTTTGAACATTATTTTCTTTACCCAGTTATGGCGCTACTGTAGTCATTTAAGAACTTTAAAGATCAGTTGATAGCTGACCTTCCACGCTCTATCCAATGCCTGTTGTGGAACTTCACTCTCTCAATCAACATTGACTATTTTTAATCCTTATGCTGCTCGCATTAGTAAAGTATATTGTATATACTTGTTTGAAACGTTTTTTTACATATCTTCAGAAACTTCATGGATTCCAGACCTAAGCAAATGCTGTCACACAACCTAGAAGTCTTCAGGAGGGGAGAAGGTCTTTTATCAGCTAAGCACACCCTCCTGCCTACATGCCTAATCTAAGGGCAGGTGGATTTTAGTAAGGAAATGCTACATAAAGCATATGCCCTTACTCAAGATGGTCACGGCCAGAAATTCTAGGGGGTGTTTTGCAAAGTGATTTTGCAGCAAATTAAAATATGGCAACATAGATGGATGGGAGAGTTTGATTTGAATATTAAAAATTAATGAAGTAGCATTTTCCAGTTGTGCTGCTCAGATACAGTGTAGTTCTGGTTTTAAAAAAATGTATATTAATATGAATGACTTCTAATATGCATTGTTGGGTTTTCACTTGTATTGACAGGTAAAGAAAATTATCTCTTTTTAATAGGATATCTTGTCTATCAGGGGATTATCATTTTATCTTATATTATGCGTTTATCAAGTAAAAAAAGATTGCTTTTAGGTACAAATAGCTAGAAAAGTGTGTATATTAAGATACCACCAAGGCCTGAAGAATTTTTTTTTTCCCAAAAAAATATTTTATTAAAGGTAATTAACAAGCATCTAATGATGTCACATTCTTGAGGGCATACAAACCCAATGTGAACATAAACAGAGATAAGGTCTAATAAATTCCAGTCGTAGATTCCTACCACCAGTAAGGAAATGAGTGATGACAGACAACATATCAGTATAGAGGGTTGGGACGCATGGATGATGAGCATATGATTAAAACACATTGACAAATCATCCTAATAAGGTGGAGTGTCTAGCACGTCACTTCGGGAAGGAAGAGATAATGTGAAAATACCTATGGTGGTATCCATCTGGGAAATATTATCAACAGTAGGCTATTGAGCCACCCCAATAGCAACATTTCCCAAGGGCAAGACTCTATTAAAGCCTCCCTAATTTGCTTGTAAGATAGAGTATATATCCAATATAACAGACTAATTCCTGAAGTGTACAGCAGGCACTTTCATACATCATGAATTTATTTCCAGATGACCCTATTTACACCAAAACCCAGGAAAGTATATTATTTAGAGTAAATTGAGACCAGAGATGTATAGATCCCCCCAACCTTCCCTTTTATTTCCATATCTTCTTATTTACCACTTAATGTTATGTGTGGCATCCTCATTGGACATTCAGGGGTTTGACCTGGGGGATATTGAACAGAAACCTATAAATGCAGCCTAGCACCCAGTTAATCATTTTTCAAGATTCCACAGGTCTTCTTAGGTTATGGGAGTGCTCTCTGCTTATTCTTAGCATCGTTTTGCGATAAATACAACTCTTAGACTGGAAAAGGTAGCACTTTAGGTTGTAGGGTTATACTTTTTTGACACTCATGAGAGATTTCTTCCTACAATACAAGAAGAGAGCATTGTTTTAGAATATAATATAGAACATAGTTATTCTTACCTTCACCAGAGACTGTGGCATTTCAGTGGTACTAATCTGCAGAATATTCCCCAGAAGTGGCAGAGGGGTGGGCCCTGGTGGCAAGTTCTTCTTCTTTACATTTATCCACCATTTAATGAAGTAAATCAGGAGAGTCACACCAGAAGCAATGAGAAGTGTTGTGGCTATATTCACCGCCATCCTGACAATAATCTCTCTGTACTGTCTACAAACCTCGAACTGCTGTATTTATTTGTGAAGAGAAGCTTGGCAGCATTCCACCTATGATATGAGAACAGTTAGGGTGTGTTGAAGTTTGGTCCAATTACAGACATATTGCATAATAGATTATAAATTTATACTAATAATTAAAAACCCTGCAGGTTTTTAATCACTCCTTACATGTAGGACATCATATACATATGGTTATGCATCTGCAGGAATCATCCTAGTTCCAAACTTTTCAGCATGTAATTCCCTTCAATGTAGAAGTGATTCGAGCAGCTATAGAGCCACTAGATCACTTCTAACTTCTATGTCCCCCACCACCTTTCAGGGCTTTTCCATCCCATTTGAGCCAAGAACTGATCTGACCAGCGGCATCTAGTGTGCTGCACAGATAGAGACTGACCTTGTTCCTCTCTGTGAGATCAGAAACTGTAAGCAACAAAGATTTTGGCATTTCCAGTTTCAGTCTGATGTAAAGAAGCATCTAGTGATGGCCTTGATGTTCGAGTTGAACACAAGTTCAGCTCAGACATCGGCCATTCGTGTGTTCAGCAGTGCATTATAATTGGCCAAAGTAATGCACCTGACCACAGATCAGGTACAATGCTTTGGCCAATCATAGCACAATTGGGTGGAGCTGGCAGTGACATCACCGAAAGCTGCACTTAATTGTTTACATCTGACCATCAACTGTCAGACCTGTCAGATTGTGGTGAGTGCACGGCAGGTGTGGGCGGTTCGGCAAGTTTTTTTATATTTTGGCGAGTCAGCGTAGTCGTGACAACACTGGAGACGTGATTGATGATGGATTACAACTATGGAACCATTTTTTTGGCTTTTTTTTTTTAAAGGATTTGTCAAAAAATGTTTTTTTCAAAAGTCTGGCTTATTTATTTTTTCTCAATTTAACCCTTTAGTGAATGGGTAGGGGTACAAGTACCCCTTACTCATTCACAAGGGGGGGACAGCATCAGGGTGTACCAATAATTAAAGAGGTACCCTAATGCCAATGAGCTCCCCTGCCTGCAGACCCCCACAATCTCTGGGCCAAGGTTGTGGGGAAGAGGCCCTTGTCCCCATCGGCATGCCGAGAGCATGTGGCCTGGTAAGCTGCAGGGAGGAGGGGTGTTCATTTGTCCCCACCACTTTTCCAGGCCTGCCTGTGCTCAGACCAATGGTCTGGTAGGAATTTAGGGAGGGATCCCATGCTTTTTCCCAAAATTTTTTGGGGTGGTGTTTCCCTTAAAAGCCTTACCAGGCCTACAGAGGCTTTTAGAGGGGAACTCCACGCACTCCCCCCCCCCCATTTTTGGGAGGTGGGGTTCCCCTTAAATAGACTACCAGGCCTAAAGGGCCTGGAATGGCTTTTAGTTGTAACCCTATGCCTTTTTTTACATTTCTTAATGTGGGGCCCCCACCCTTTTTTCTTCTTAAATAAAAAAGGCATTTTTTAAAAAAAAATGTCAGTGCTTCTTCAGCAGGTTCCATAATTGTACAGATGTGCAACTTTGCAAAGTAGTTTAAGGGCATTATATTTAAAATCATTTTTCTTGTTTTTTTTACTTTAAACAATGAAAAATGACTGCCCCTTTAAAAACGGTACGTTTTGAATTTTTTTTTCACTGATTCATGTTCCCCAGGGAAGTCTCCAAGTCCCCATACCTCCTTTATGGTCAAAAACTTGCAGATAAGGCTTCAAAATGGACACACTTAAATTTACAAGTTCGAGTCCCTTAGACTTGCATTGAGTTTGAAGTTCACAGCCGAACATTTAGTAGGTTCAAATGTTCGACTGTGGAACTCACCAGGGGGTTGTTCGATCCATCACTAAAAGCATCAAATCAAAACAATCTCAGTGTGATCAAATGCTTTGGAAGCCAGAGGAGAGATATGGGGCCTAAAAGACTCCATATCTCTCTATAAAAAGAGCTTGTCATGATCGATGCAATCACAAAGGATGTTGTTCATTCCTTGTGATAACAGTAAAGTTGATAAAAAAAAGGTACAGTGTTAAACAGTAAATTTAAATAACATAAAAATTAAAGCGTACCCGTGCTCACACGCAAATGCGCTCATATGTCCCCCACACAGGGGCGGACTGACAACTCATGGGGCCCCCTGGCAATAGGGGATCTAGGGGCCCCTGTGTCCTCGCCCATACCCAAAAATGAATGTGAAAAAGCCAATGAAAGGTACCACGGGCATCTCATGGGGCCCCCTACTGACCCTGGGCCCTCGGGCAGTGCCCTAGTGCTCGAATGGTCAGTCCACCCCTGCCCCCACACATATGTATATATCAATCGCACCATACATGTGAGGTATCACCACAAATGTGAGAGCGAGAGCAATAATTCTAGCACCAGCCCTTTTTGTAACTCTAAACTAGTAACCTGTAAAAGCTTTTAAATGGTCACCTATGGATAATTTAATGTACCACAGTTTGTCACCATTCCACAGGCCTATGCAATTTTAAAGTGTTACATGTTGGGTATCTATTTACACTTGCCCATCATTATTCGCATGAAATTTTTTATACATTATATTTTTCTATATGTAGTTGTAGACGGAGAGCACTATTTTGTTTCTTCTTTTTACGTGTTTGGTATCTATTTACTCAGTGTGACATCATCTTTTTTTATTTTGCCAAAAACGGGTATTATAGGGTATTATATTGTGTTTGCGTGCACCAAAATGAATTAAACTGTATTTTTTCCAAAAATGTTTGTTTGAAAAATGTCTGCGTAAATATTGTGGGACATAAAACTTTGCAACACCCAAAATTGTATTCACTAGGGCGTTTGCTGTAAAAAAATATATATGTTTGGGAGTTCTAAGTAATTTTCTAGCAAAAAAAAAAGATGATTTGTAAATGCAGGAGAAAAATATCAAAATTGATTGGGTTAAGTGGTTAAATATTATATATTTAATGAAGTAAATCAGGAGAGTGACTCCAGAAGCTATGAGAGGTGTTGAGGCAACCACCACCATCCTGACAATAATCAGTCTGTACTCTCTACAAACCTCCAACTGGTGTATTTATTTGTGAAGAGAAGCTAGGCAGCATTTCACCTATGATATGAGGACAAGTAGGGTGTGTCGGAGTTTGGTTCAGTTACAGGCTAAATGTAGAACAGATAAAGCTATGCTAATAATTATTAACCCTGCACAAATTTGTCATGTTGTATTATCCAGGAGAAGGCCAGCATGCAGGAGATGGTGTTTTAAGCAACTATTTTGTCTCTATCTTAACTATTATGTATCTGGAACTCTGAGTTGTACTTCATCCAAAGCATTCTCAAGTCCATTGACTAAACCTACATACAGTAACATTACTCAAAGTTTTGTGTGACAGTTTACAAAATACAAAAACAGATAGGAATGGGCTATATGTTCGAGTCGAACCTAAGTTCTACTCAAACATGGGCCGTACGTGTGTTTGCCTGCCACGCCCCACAATGCACTGCACCCTGACAGCTCATTGTGATTGGTCAAAGCAATGCACCTGACCACAGGTTAGGTGCAATACTTTGGCCAATCACAGCGCGTGACGATGTCACAAGGGGGTGGGGTAACAGCATTTAAGAACTGTCATTGAGGGCCTAGCTGCCAAACGGTGGGAGCCAGCATCGCGAGCGGAGCAGCTTTTTTTCTTCCTTCTTACAGGTAGTGGCAGCAGCAGGCATTGTGACAGATGTTTGGATCTACTTTGGGAGACCTTTATACTATGGACTGCATACTCATTCACATAGGGGGGGACCGTGATCTGGGGGCCCCCTTGTTAGGCTTCCAGATTCCTGCCCACAGACCCCCACAACCACAGGCCACAGTTGTTATATATACGTGATTTGCATTACTGGGTAGGTGCGAGCATGTGCGCCACCCTACCCACGCCACCATTGGATGCTAGATATGTCAGTTACTGAATCCCGGCCAGAGATTCCCCGCCGGCACCCAGCAATCGCCATGCAAAGCTGACAGAGGAAAGACCTGTGTGTAAACAACACAGGCCTCTCTCTTGCCAGCAAGAACATACATACTGTTTTGTATTTCTCTGCACAGCAGAGAAATACAAAACAGCATGTCTCCAAGGTAAAACAGCACACAGCACAGATAGTAAAACACACACAGCACACAGTTAACCCTTTGTTCGCTCAATAGTTAACCCCTTCCTGCCTAGTGTCATTAGTACAGTGTCAGTGCTTTTTGTTAGCACTGATCACTGTATTAGTGTCACTGGAGATGTCAGTGGCAGTTAGTTCCCACCCAGTGTAAGAATGCCATCCACAATCCCACAGTCCCACTATAAGTTGCTGATCGCTGCCATTACTAGTATAAAAAAAAATTAAAATTCCAGTATATATACCGCCATTTGTAGATGCTATAACTTCCAAGTAAACCAATTAATTTACACGTATTGGGATTTTTTTTAGCAAAGACATGGAGCAGAATACATTGTGACCTAAATTTATGACAAAATTTGATTGTCTGTTAAAGTAACGCAGCTCCGTATCACAAAACATGGCCTGGTGAGGAAGGGGGGTAAGCTCTGGAGGGCAAGTGGTTAACTGTTACTGACTGCTCCTTTGTCAGTTCCTGTTCCCAACATCCCTTTCTTTTTATTGCTATTCCCTGCTCCCCATCAGCTTCCAATAGTCAAAGATTACCCTCATCATCCCCTTCATCACCAGTTCCTGCCCCTCATACCTCTTTGTCTTTGTCTCTTTTTCCTGCTCCCTTTCAGCTTCCATCCCCCCATTGATTATCCTCCATTGCCCCCACCACCACCAGTTCATACCTGCCACACCTATTCACCTTTTTCTCCATTTCCAGCTCCCATGCCCCATCCCACAGCACCCCACCATCAACTCTTGCCTGTAAGAAGCCACATTCAAGCAGAAGTGTGCACACATGTTTGGCCAGTGCAATTTCAGTAGTTAATAAAGGATCAATGAGCATAAAGAATTAGCTCTCCTTAAATCAGATTGAAAGGAAAGCAAGGTTGGGGTCAAACAGGTTG